ATCGGTTGAAAATCCACCCAACTTTCTATGTTAGTTTTTTGAAACCTTTTCATGAGGATTAAACAAACCTGACAAGGAAACAAGCTCGGAGAGCACCCCCGGTAATCAGAAAACAGTTTGACAAGGAGGTGGAACAAATTCTTGATCACAAGACCGAGGGTCAAAGCAAAAAGAATTGAAGGCCCCATTACTTAGTAAAGTGGAAGGGTTCCTCAGAATTAGATGCAAGTTGGGAAAAGGATGTGACATTGTGGCAATTCGAAAAACAAGTCCAAGAGTACTTGAAGACCCTACCAATGAGGACGTTGGCTTCTTCTAGTGGGGGTGGTTTGTTAGCACCTTCTACTTAAAGGCTACATGGTTCGCATTGGCAACACCTTGCACCAATGTCCAAACAAGGCCACGACATGATGGTGGCATGCCAAAACAACAAGGTGAAACATTGACAAGTGCTGAGGCAGCAACACATAACCCTTGGCCAAAGTTTGGGCAGCAGTTGCACAAATGCAAGGCATTAACATGACCCGAATGTGGGCTGTAGCATACTTGGGGGTTCAAAGCATTCAGTAGACAAAACTTGGTCTGGGGGCCAAGACAACCAAATTCGTGGCTGACTTGAGAAGGCAAACAACATGGATAGTTAATAGCAGTTATGCTTGTCTGTTGACAGGAATTACCCATGTTGAGCAAAGACAAGGCAAGTCTGGACATCTGGAATCAATGCTGAAAGTTAGCAGTAGTTACTAGCAGTTAGTCCCAGAAATGTTCCTAAGTCCCTAGGTAGTTGGGGGTGTCAACTGCCATGCCATTTGGCATGCTTTGCTTGTAATGCTGGTTGTAAGTTTGTAACTGATTGTAAAGCCTATTTTAGGCATAGGCATGGAACTCGAAAATTACTAAGTGTTTTGTAAGAGTTACCATAGGCCTCCTTTGTATTGTTGATGCAATTAATAAAGGTTGGGAACTTTCCTGTAATCTCTTGCTGCCTATTCTCTTATTCGTTATAACACTTTGTGTGTGTGTATTCATAATTGGCTGAGACTAAGTGTCCAACTTAGTGCCATTGTAGGCTGGAAATTTGAAACAAAAATTGACCCTGTAACAATGTTGATTTCTTTTCTCAATTTTAAAGTAAAGTCTGAAAATGTTGGCGAAGATTGAAATTTTACTTTGAGTATGTTGCAATGTTGTATAGTTTATACAACTGGCCATGGTTCCACCTGTTCTAAAAGCTCCAACTTTATGGTTTTGATAATTTGAAGTTAGTATTATTTTCCCTAGCGTATACGTTAGTTGTGCTTCAAAGGGAATCTCATATGAATGCATTTGTTTGTATTATGGTATTGTATGTCTTAGTATTTGTTCATTTTTGCATCACCCTTGCTAACAAATTCATCTTTGAGAATCACTTACATAAAATTCATCTTATACACAGTTACAACAATTTTGTGTCTATCCTTCACAGCACAATGACACACTTATCCCCTAGGCAGAAGGTATCCAACCTTGTGTTGCCTTAACTTATGTGAAGTTGTGTTTGGCATTTATTTACTTGTCTACGCTATTTACAAGCTTTTATGAGACGAGGAATTGGTGGACCGCACTCACTTCTTCAAAAGGTGCAAGAGTGTTATGAAGTTCACTTTTTTCCATTTTTGGTGTTGCTTAGTCTATGCCAGCTTCGAATGGTATGCTATTTCAGTATTGGGCAGGCAGATGTCCTTCTAGGAGCCTCCTAAAAGCTTGGAAGGTAGCACTCACGTTCTTAATGTGGAGTGTGGTGTGAACAACATAGACCATTTTTTTTGAGTAGAGTCATTAGTACATAAATTAAAGTTGTCTTTAATCCATAGTTTTTATTTTTGACTTGAAGGAAACTTTTGTGAACAACTTTTGCTCTTGTAGGTGCCTCAGATGTTTTTTTTGCTGCTGTGTTGGATTAAACAAAAATGGGGCTTGGATTGATTGAAGGGCTGCTGGAAGGGCTGCTGGTTGCTGGTTTTAATTTCTTTGGTTTTCTTGTTTTGCTTTGTGTGTTGGTTTCTCTCCAACTAGGAGGTTGGAGCTTTTTATAGCTCCAAGCTCCTCTTTATTGATGTAAAGTGTTTTTTCCATCAATAAAGTCTTCTTTTTGCCGATCAAAAAAAAAAAAAAAACTTTTGCTCTTGTAGATTTTCTGGGAACTCTCTCTTTTGGTGAAATAGTTTGATTGTATATACGTGATGTACAGAGTTGCATCTCTTATAGCATGTTTTGAATAGAAATTACTTTCTAAAATATTTATAATTATATTTATTAATAATAAATCTGTCCAGATAGTGTGAAAAATTATGAAATCATATGATTTGAATTACCCCTCGTTGCATGTTCTCACTCAAGAGTCGACTCAAGATCAACCCTACATTGTCACAACTATTGACCAAGCCACGTGAATATTCATTTGGATATGCGCATGCTTGGTCTAATTAATTATCCTATTTGTTCCTCAAAAACCATATCCTCAGAATTCAGATAGCTAGCTATCTTGTATACGAGTCTTGCTTATTTTTTATATTTGCATTAGGCTCATGGATATATAAATTCCACAAAGATTATCTGGTTGTGACTTTCTGTATTTTATTAGGTGTCGAACGCCCTGACATAGGTCTCCCTCAGCCCCGGGCCTGACCTTGATGGCCTCTCCCAATTCTTGGCCTATCTTGCCCCACTCACCACAACAAAATCAAACTGATTTTGTAATAAAAAATGAAAATATATTAATAAAGGCAGCAGAGTAAGAAATCGAAGTTACTTGCATATTATGTATGATACCCGGTGTTTCAGAGTAAGAAATCAAAGTTACTTGCATATTAGGTTGAATTCTCATCCCTATAATGTCATTTCAATCCTCTCCTTTTTTTGGCTATAGTGTCACATGAAATTGGCAATGCTTTCAGTGGAATTCAGCTTGATCGCTAGCATTCCGTAATTGTGCCTTAATGGAGAAGGTTTTTGTTTTTATTATTATTATTATTATTAATTAAAAGCATTCCATATTACTGCTCCTGTGTTCTCCAAAGTACCTAAAACTTGGGTACTTTGGCCTGCGGCTTGAACCCAAAGTTTCTTGACCTGTGGTTACTTGGGACACCCCTCTAGATACCAATTCAGCTACAGCTTGTTGGTTTTGGCTGAAGAATTGATGCTTTAAAGCAGTAAAATTATTTTGCATCTCAGGAATATATGTACACTCTTTGATGCACGTAAACATCGATGGTTATGGGTTTGGATGCCAATAGGCAAAGTAATGAATCAACTTGAAAAAAAAATAAAATGGAATAGAAACCTATGAACCTATGAAGCACCGACACTTCAAAACAAGTGTCGTATCCATGTCGGACACATTGACACTTCGGGGACATGTATGAGACACACCACATGGCGTGTCCTGTTATTCAATTAATTTATTTTCAGAGGACTTGCCGGGGACACGTCGGAGACACACTGGGGACATGCCAAGTTGTCTTTTCTCTCATTTTATTTAGTGCTTTTAATGAATGTTGAATGTTTATTTTTTTTTCTTAGATTTAAATAATTAATAGTTATCCATAAAAAAATATATAAATTGTAAGTGTTAATTTAAAAGTGTTTTTTTTAAATAAAAAAAATAGAATTAGAGTTAGTTTTTGTTAATATTGATTGTTTATGGATGTAATATTAATCTACATGGCAAATAAAAATAGATGAAAACATATTTTATTGTTGTGTCCCTGCTGTGTCTGTGTCCCCATTTTTTATAAATTGTCGTGTCCCATGTACGCATCCGTGTCTATGTCCATGTCCGTATCCGTATCCGTGTCTATGCTTCTTAGCTATGAACACATGATTACCCAACTAAAACCATCTCCGAAGAATTCAATGGGCTGGATTAAATTAAAGCAGCAAGTTTTCTTATGCTCTAAAGAAAGCTGAAATTAAGTCTTTCATTTGTTTTTTTGTTTAGTTTTCAAATCTGTAATTTTAATTGCATTTATGGTATTTTACCTCATGGGATCATAACCATGTTTAGTTAAAATCTATGTTACATAGCCTTGGGTTCGGGTGTCGGGTGCGGGTGCATGGGCATGTGCATGTGCGTATCTAGAGATCAAACTCATCAAATCTCAAATTTAAGGGTACATATACTCAGCAAGAAACAGTTATATTTTATGTATTTAATTTATTATTATTATGTAAGATAAAATGATACTATATGTAACATACAATGTTAAAAAATATTTCATAGCAATTAGCAACAATATATACATGTAAGATATGGTTAAATACGAATATACAAGAAGTGTTTGATGGAAAGTATCAAACGCATATCCCATATTGATATGGATATTTGATTTATTTTGAAGGTTCCATGTAACATAGGTTAAAATCCTTGGCTACTTTTTTTGAGCAAAAAACTCATCTTTATTATGATGGCTGCCATTCCATTCAGTGTTTGACTTGGTTTCTTTTCTGATATGACAATTGTATATGATTTTGGGGTTATTTTGTTATTATTATTATTATTATCATCATCATCATCGTAGTCATTTTTCTTCTTGCTTTTCCCCTACTGTGATTACACTTTGTTCTGGTACTCCCTTCGGAGCTAAAAATTCAGAGATGCACATTCTCTTTTGATTACTATTTCGATTGTAAACAGTTTTTTTACTGCTTCAGGCTATCATTCATGTAGGCCTGCAACATGGCTACACACCCCAGGTGCCAAAACCAACCTCAAGCCTGCCACACAGTTTGCCATTGTGTAGAAAAGATGGGCATCTCAATCCACTCCAGCTGAAGACAACAACAAGATCAGCATTGGACCTCGTAGAGGAGAAGCTGGGGACAACGAGAAGGACACTGGGGTTGTTTATTATGGTCCAATCTCAAGTACTATCAAGAAATTGAAACTTCTATCTCTTTCCAATTGCTGGCTATCTGTGTCTTTAGGCCCTCTCATAACCTTCATGACAACTCAAGACATGAATGTGATCCTCAAGGGGGCTGTGGCTTTTTCGGTTGTATTCTTAAGTGCTCCTACCACCGCTGCTCTTCACTGGTTTGTGAGTCCTTACGTTCACAAGCTCAGAGGGAAACTTGGTTCGGACAGCTTTGAGGTTGAGATGATGTCATGGCTGGCTATGTTTATTCCAAAAGAGAAAAGTTAGGGATCATGAAATTTTTTTCAGGAAAATAATCATGAAAGAGTTATGATCCTTGGATTACCTTGATTAGTGTGTGATGCTTTATTCTAAGTGTAATTCAAAGGTCATAAAGCTTTCATGATTATTTTTATGAAAGATTTTTTATGATACCTAGCATTGCTGATTCCAAAAACCATCAAGTTTGCTGATATAAGGCTACCCAAGACAAACAGGCCTTTCGTGACGTTTAAAGCTAATGGAAATTTCTATTTCGTTGATGCTGAGCACTGTCACAACAAGGCTTTGTTAGCAAAACTGACTCCACAGAAGGCAACTCATGGGTCAGCTTTGAAGAAATTGTGATTGCAAAATGTTTTTTGATGAGAATTTTTTGTTGGCGCTTCGTGAATGGCTGTGTTTATATGCTATAGCTTGTGATGAAGACCACTTGATCAGCTTTGAGTCTCATGATGATGGTACATCTACCCATTTTCCTTAGAAGTAGCAAGAACATACATTTTTGGTCATGTTTACAAGCAATAAGCCGGTGTATGAATTGAAGATACACCTGCAGATTAGATGAGTTTCCTCTCTGCAACATTTGTTGAGCTGAATGTCCGCATCTCAACTTCTTTCATACCTATTTTCTGTTGTGTGCATACATTCTGTTCTTTCCTAATAGACTCTTCAAGGTACACTGACAACTTTGTGATGTTAAATGACGTTTTGGAGTTATTTTCCACTTTTGCTGGAAGCATGTTTGGCCTGTTTGCCTGTCTCTTTGAAGTTCTTCCATGCTTATGAACATTCCCACTAAACTTTCTGCACATTCGTGTTTTATGTTTGTTTCCAGTTATGTACTTTCATTTTCACATTCTGCTTTCCCTTTCCCTTTCACAGTTATTGTTGAGAAATGGAGTTTCTCTTTTTCTCTCTCTGATCTCTATTTCTGGTTGTAGCGGTGGTAGTGGTGGTGGGTGAGGCAGCTAGGGTGGGGACAGGGGTTTTGCTAGGAGGGTTGGGGAGTGTCTGGGAGGGGTAGGGGAAGGCGGGGGGATTGGCTGGTGGCGGTGGGCTCAGATAAGGGTGGTGGGGGGAGGCTGGATGGTGGCTGGTGGTGGCAGCCACAGAGAAGAAGTGTGGAGGGGTTGGAGGTGGTGGAAGTGGGTGCGACAGAGGCTGTTGACACCAGAGGGGATGGTGGAGGGATTGATCGGCAGTGGGGGGAGTAGTGAGGGTTTTGAAGGGGAAGATGGGATGAGGAAAGGAGGATACTTTTGTGATTTTACTATTTTTTCAATGTTTTATAATTATTTTATAGTCATCCATGGTAATTATTTTTTGATTCTCTACTCTTATGCAATTGTTTTTGTTCTTTCCATTTATTTGAAAATTTGAAATTTTCTGTTATTTATTTTTAAATTTTGCTATTGAAAATAAAATCTAATTGGAAGGAAGTGTTTTACTATGGAAACATATGCCCAATTTTGATTGAAGATTTTATCTTCGTTGATACAAGTTTTTATGTCAGATGAGCTCATTCTTGTACACCACCATGTCCTGAAACCAGAGTAGCTGCAAGTGGGAGCCCAGCTTAATATCATTTTCATTTTCTGTTTTTTACTTTTTTTGGCAAACTATTTTTAAGAAAATCTAAAAACAACGCACTTTATAAGAAACACCAAGAAATTATTTTCAAAATTTCTAAAATGGTTTTCAAACAGAAATAAAAAATGATATGAATGAAACAAGTGTAATCAAACTTCTAGATGATTTTGTTTAAGAAAACATGAAAAAATGAAAATGATATATATAAATTCATTATCCTTCAGAGTGAAAAATGCCTTATAAACCAATGTGTATTATTGGGCACTTCCATTATTGTGAGACTATGTTTGAAGGATAGAAATCCTGAGGGAGAATGAGAATGTAATTTCGAATTTTCATGATTTCAATGTTTGGAATGGATTAGAAAAGGAAAGTAATTTCATTGTATTTGTTGGAACAATTTTCTGTGTAAAATAAATAAAATAAATTACTTACCAAATTTATTTACCGAACCAAATTAAACTTTAAAAGATCAAGTCGAGTGTGTAATACTCTATCCTTAAGACAGATTCGCTCCGCTACGGTGCTTATGGATAAATGGCGTTTATCTCACAAGATATAATGATCTTCACAAATTGTAGTAGCACTTCAAACAATTTGTTCGCGAACAAAACCTATGTTCTAAACTCTCTGAATTTTTTCTTAAAATAATATGAAGAATAATTGATGTAAGAGAGCAAAATGAAGGCAAAAAAAAAAAAGAATTTTCGGAATGGAATGACTGCTGGAATGGCCTGCTATATATATAGACTCGAACATGTAGGTTTTTTGAATAAACAGATGCAAATTTAAATTGGACAGGTACAAATAGATAACTGCTAGGCAGTTTTTATCTGTTGGAAAACTGCTGGCAGATTTGAATCTGTCTAGCAGTTTTGAATCTGTCCGGTCTGTTAAAAAACCTGTTTAATAGTTAGGAATTTAGTGGAATTCAGAGGCACAATTTTTGGACAAAAAAAATTTGAATTCAAATACATTTTGAAATTCAATAATTTCCTACAAGAATTTGAAAAAATTCAAATAAATTTTGCCCAAAAAATTAATGTTAGAATCGACCCGACCTACAACCCACACCCGTACCCGGTCGGATGGACGGCGGCGACGGCACGCGCGCGCGCATGCGTGGTGGTTTAGGCTAAGGTTTACTTTGTCCATAACTCCTCCATTTTATAAACTTGGGATGCTCCTTGGGGCCCAACCCAAGTTGGTACACCAAGAGCTTATATACTCACAAAAGCTCACTTACACTATGTTTGGGAATCTAGGAGAGAAAAGAAAAGAAATGATTACTTAAGTTATAAGAGAAAAGAAAAGAAATGATTGTGATTTCTTTTCTTCTTGTTTGGATAAGTAAGAAATAAAAGAAATGAGATGATTGTGATTTCTCTCTTTCTTGTTTGGTTAAATTTAATAAGAGAAAAGAAATTTATAAACTTGGGATGCTCCTTGGGGCCCAACCCAAGTTGGTACACCAAGAGCTTATATACTCACAAAAGCTCACTTACACTATGTTTGGGAATCTAGGAGAGAAAAGAAAAGAAATGATTACTTAAGTTATAAGAGAAAAGAAAAGAAATGATTGTGATTTCTCTCCTTTTTGTTTGGATAAGTAAGAAATAAAAGAAATGAAATGATTGTGATTTTTCTCTTTCTTGTTTGGTTAAATTTCATAAGAGAAAAGAAAAGAAATTATTTTATGTTATATTACCAAAATAACCTTTTTATATTTTCAATCATTTTATTTTTTTTATTTTTACAGGGACAAAATTGGTATTATGAAAATATAAGAATCATTTGGTTTCTTTTCTCTTCCAATCTCTCTACTTTTGGGAAGATTGAAAATGAGAGTTATAAAATAAATGAGTTTCTCTCAATTTCTCTCTCTATTTATCCTCATTTCTCTTCACTTAAGTTATCCAAACAAATAAGAGAAATACATATCTCTTCATTTCTTTTCTTTTCTCTCCAAATCACTCAATCCAAACATAGCATTAAAGTTTCAATGTGAGGCAAGCCTTAAAAGGAAACCCACATTTAATTCTTTAATTTTCCATTCCACGAACCCAAAAATGACATCAAGTTCCCATTCATTCATAAATGATTTTGACAAGCCGTTTTCACCATGTAACTTGTCATGCGACCAGGAACACATCACCTCTTTGGATCCACCTCAAAAGACGTGTGGACCCTACTTAAATTTGGGCTCAAAGTTGGCCCAAAATAAGGCTATAAAAAACCAAAATTTCCAACAATCCCCCACATGAATGGAATTTGACGAAGAGAAAATGCAACAACATGATCTAATTACAGAGAGTACAGAATTTGAAAATATTCTGGAAATGATAGGTAGCTTTTGGCTTTGAACCTTCCCTTGTGAGTCACTATCGAATTTACTGGCTAACTAGTGAACATGATGTCTTAAACTATTAAACTATTTGTGTAAATCAAGACAATAGAACTCACATAGTATATCACCAGACACAGTTTAGTTTTCACTATTGTGTTCATGTTGGCCCTGAACAACCTAGTCTTTCATGAGTGCTCTAAAGACTTGTAGCCCTTCACAAATCTCATAGAACCGGCCCAGTACATAGGTGATTCTTATGAAGAGTATCCTGCCATACTCCACTAGGTATACCTAAATATAAGAATCATTAAAAGTATTACTCAACCTAAAACACTGTAGACATCATTATTTCATCATAGAAATGGGTAGGAGTTTGACTTCCCAATGATCTTTCTGAGTCATACACAATTCGGTTGTCCTTTTGAACCTAGATCTTGGGATCTCCAATCAACTAGGTTGGGTTTCCGTTGTGGTAACTCTTATTTAATAGGCTTAAGTCTCATCCTCTAGATGAATTCTCAACTAACTCTCTTGCTAACCCTTTGGTTAGTGGATCCGCTTTGTTGTCTTTAGACTTCACATATTCATTGGAAATAATTCCATTAGAGAGTAGTTGTCTTACGGTGTTATGTCGACGATGAATGTATCGTGACTTACTATTATACATATGACTCTGTGCTCTACCTATTGCTGATTGACTATCACAATGTATGCAAATAGAAGGCACTGGTTTTGGCCACATTGGAATATCCTCAAAGAAGTGGCGAAGCCATTCTGCTTCTTCCCTCGTTTGATCTAAATTTATGAATTCTGATTCCATAGTAGACCTAGTAATGAAAGTCTATTTTGGAAGATTTCCAAGATATAGCCGTACCACCAAGAGTAAAAACATACCCACTGGTAGATTTCGAGTCTTTAGTATCCGATATCCAGTTTGCATCACAGTATCCTTCAAGTACTGCTGGATATCTAGTATAATTTAACCCAATATTGTGAGTAAATCAGAGATATCTTAAAACTCTTATAATTGCTTTCTAGTGTTCTACTCCTGGATTACTCGTATATCTACTTAATTTACTTACTGCATAAGCTATATCTGGGCGAGTGCAGTTCATCAAGTACATTAAGCTTTCAATAATTTGGGTATACTTTAATTGAGAAATACTTTCCTGTACATTCTTAGAAAGAAACAAATTAACATCCACATGCGTTCTAGCAAGATGATCATCATCTTTGTTGAATTTGTCAAGTATTTTCTCAATGTAATGAGATTGTGACAAAGCATAACTGTCTGATGCTTTGGTAATTTTCATATCAAGAATTACATCAACAATCCCCATGTCTTTCATGTTAAAATGTTTATTCAACATTTTTTTGGTAGTTTTAATGTTGAATAAAGACATACTAT